CATTTAATATATGTTTCTGTATACATATAAGTTATACACATATATTAAGTTAATAATATAACTAAAAATAAATTTTACAATCAAAAAATTATATAACTTAATAGATCATTGCACTACAAATTTTGTCATTTCTAAATTACATTAATATCGAAACAATATAATAATATCATAATATTATATATTAAATAAAAACTTTAACAATAATAGACATAATTGTCGTCCCATATCTTAAGAATAAGTTTTGTATCAATTGGTTCATTGATTTTTAAAACACTAATTTGTAAAAAAGTTATTTCCTATAATTACAAAAATAAGTAAATTTATAAAAACATTTTTTCAAATCAATATTTAACATATTAATAATTTTGATCAACAGTTCTTATAATTTTAATAAAAAAAAGTTATTTGATTTATAATCGTTTTTTAAATAAAAAAATATACTATAATTATATTGCAATATTATTGTTATATTGATAATCATTTTATAAATAAAAAATTAAATTATACTGTTTTCAATTAATAATGTAGAATATAAATAAACAAAATCAAAATTATTATGATTGATCTTTTTTGCATTCATTGATATATTTTTATAAAAAATCATGAAATTGATAATACAAAATAAGAAAAAATATAATTTATAAAAAATTTATTTCAAATTTATTTTATTTATATAGTTAAATATAATTTATATCAAATTTTATCATTTTTACTAAATAATGTGTAAAGAATACTAAACTACTAAACATTATTATATATAAATATATTTATAAAATATTTTTCAACACAAAAATGAAAATGAAGTCCAACAGAGTGTTTGATTATCTTATAATCAAAGTAAACATACATTTAATATAAAAACTACTGTATATTATTCATAATAAAAGACAACACAAATACAGTATATCCTAATAATGTATCAATTTTGTGCTTTTTATTTGATTTGTGCTTAATATTAAACTTCCTACAGATCTCTCATTTTTTATATACTGTATATAAACTATATATTTATATATATATAATAAGTCGATCGACAAGTTTTCATATAAGTATGTGAAGCACACATATCTTTGCAAACAAAATAAATGATAGCAACGACTGGTTTGTCTCTTATATTATTAAACAGTGGTTTTTGCTTTCAAAATCTCATTTAAAAAAGCTATACTATGCTATACGCAACACGTCTGCAAACTTTCACCAGAAAAAGGTTTTTTTTAAATGCTTTCGGCTATATTTTGACCTCAATTTGTGATATCAATCGAAAGAGAGAGATAGAKAGATAGAKAGAKAGAGAGAGAGAGAGAGAGAGAGAGAGAGAGAGAGAGAGAGAGAGAGAGAGAGAGAGAGAGAGAGAGAGAGAGAGAGAGAAAAGTAAAACTCTGATAAATGAAGAATTAAACATTTTTATGTTGCTTTGATAAAYATTAACATTGGTTTATGAGTTTTATTGATTTCTTTTATTTTTGATATATATATATATATATTTAAAAAAAGCAATTTTTTGTTATATTTTGTTTGTTTCTTTTTTTAATGTATACCAATTATATAAATGTGATTATCAATTGTGATATGTATGACAAGTATCATTATTATTATACGATTTTTCCCAACATTCAGTCAAACCTATTATATTAGTTAGTCTAACAAACTTTATTTTAGTAGAGATCGTTATAATTATGAGCTATAATAAAAATTATAAGATGATATCTAACCAATGATGACGGATGACATGTTGACAGCATTATAGTAATTATTTTGAGTGAAAGAGAGAGAGAGAGAGAGAGAGAGAGAGAGAGAGAGAGAGAGAGAGAGAGAGAGAGAGAGAAAGTAATGTCTAAAAACTGTCTAAAAATAGACAAAAATTTAATTCCTTATTAAATTTTCATTTTTAATATGTAAAACCAGTTGTTATTATAATATAAATACAAACAAAGAAAATTTCTTATCCATCAAATATGATAAATAAAGTTTTTATTATTTTGAGCATAAAAACATAAATCTTTTAAAATTTGCAATTTTAATGAAATTTTAGGACTACTTAACTAAATTTTTTCAAAATGTATGTTTGTATTAAAGATTATACTATGATAACCTATATTATGAAATAGACAAAAAAATTAAGCTGGTTTATAATGTAAATCACTGGTATAATTACCTAGCTTATAGCTAGATAAAGAAAAACATTTAACCTATAATATGCATTATCTATTTTAATTTGCAATTAGATATTATTTATCTACTATTACATTTAAAGTTTAGATTAAACTAATTAATTATATAAAAATTTTAGTAAAATAAATTATGAAAATATTTAATATTACAATAAAATTAATTTAATAACAAACATAAATTATTTATTCAAATCACTCATTATTTATACAGTTTTTGAAATTTACATCATAAAAGACTTTTAGATAAATATTTGCAAATAAGTGGAGAATTTTTAATTAATTACACTTTAATTACACTCTTATTATAAAAATCTCTGACAAAAACACCAAAAAAATGAGAGAATATACTTTTACTTTAACTATAATATGATTTCTACTGTATGTGTTAAACATGTCAACAAAATAATTTATAATTAGATTTTTAATATTTACAAAAAGGATTTCTAAACAATAAAATTAGTTCAATGAGTTGTTTACAATATTTTATAATATTAAAAAATATATATACAGTATATATTGTCGCAAATTTTTAATATAAACAAACAGTTTAATATAGTTTAGTATATTAGCCCTAATTGTTTTTGAACATTAAATATATAGTAATTAAGCGTTTTATTATTATTTTTATTATTAATTTTCTTCAAAATGCAGACAACGTGCAAAAATGTAGAGAAATTATTATAAAAATAAAAATTTATTATAATTTTTATTGCCTTTATTAATCTCAAATCCCAATGACATCTCATTAACACAAAAATCAATGTTAATATACGGTATATAATATGAAAAAGTAATAATCAACAAAATTAATCTCATTTTTTTTAACTCTCTTTCTCTCTTATCATAAAAATAATTGAAATCATTATTTTGAATTTTTTAGATTATTTTATTGAAAAACAATGTAAAACATAATATAATAATACGCAAACCAACCACAATAATCAATGGTAATCAAAAAATTCATWGACAAATAATTACAGTATATTTATTTATTTGTATTGAAATAAAACTACAAATATAATACAATTTGTCAATAAATATATACTTAATACTTAATACTTTGAATACTGTATATGACTTGTATTATGAACTAATTATTTGGTTTTACTTTCATTTATTATATATTTCCAGACAAACAAAAAACACAGTAAAACAATAATAAAAACTCATTGACTGACTTTAATACCACTGAGAATATGATTATCTCAACAAATAAATTGCAAAGTGTTATAATAACACTGCTATTAGTCGCATATGAATGAATTGGTCGGACAAACAAACTTATCAGTGAAAGAGAGAGAGAGAGAGAGAGAGAGAGAGAGAGAGAGAGAGAGAGAGAGAGAGAGAGAGAGAGAGAGATAAAAAACAAATTAAAGCAAATATTTTTGTTTAACTTTTGAAATAAGTAAAGTTAGTTGAAAAGTTTGAAAAGTAAAAGTGAGACTCATTATTATTGTACTGTATATTAAATTGAACCCCAAGTCTATTGAAGCACAACTACTACTTACTTGGGTTAGAGTTTAAGTTTATTTGAAAAAAAATTTATTCAAAAAAAATAGAAAAATAAATAATAATAATAAAGTCAAGACATGTACACAACACAAATGTTTGGCTTATATTTTTAAAAATAATAATTTAAATGTTGATTATTGACTGAGAAAATAAGGAGTTCATTATAATTTTTTATAACAATAAATATTATATCCCGTATTTTGTAGGTATATTTGAAAATAAGTTTTTTTAAAAAAAGGAGTTAATGAGTCCATGTGTTTACAGTATATTACTGTACTTTCATTATATTAGCTCTTATTCTAAATAATATAACAATTTTATGATTATTTTTGTTGTTGTTATTAATGAAAACAACAACAACAAGAAAATTGTTATCATTAGCCAAATATATTAAGACATACACTCCTTATTGTCTGAAGAGAGTACTTATACTATATTAAGTGATATTTGAAAAAATGTTATGAAATAAATAAATAATAAATTTATATAAATTTTTTAAGGATAATACAGTGTAACGATTTCTAAAAATTAATAATTAATTAAAAACTAAACATTATTTTAATATACTGTACAATACAGTAATACTGGAAAATGTATTATAATTTTAAATATACTGTATTTAGTAATAAAAACATTTTATTCAATACTTTTATTACAGTTTATAAGGTTTGTAGTGAACTCTATATTGGATTTTATGAAACACATCATGTGTTTTGTGTTTACAATAATTGTGTCAAAAAGACATTTGTATTCAAATATATAATACAGTTGTTATAGATTATTATTATTGATAATAACATTAATTAAATTAATTAAAGTTTTATTATTATTATAATTTTGTTTTGTTGTTATATTAAATTATAAAATATATGTATAGAAAATTTTAAAAAAAAACAATATTTGACACATCAATCAAATTAGATTTCATTGAAATTATGTTAATTAAAACTCTAAATTTTTAAAAATTTGATTTCAAAAATAAATTTTTGTTATAAAAAACTATAATAAAAATTATAATATAATATCGATAATGGGTTACAAGCGTTGACTTATATATATATATATATATAAAAACTAATAATAAAAATTGTTTTAAGCTTTTACTTTGAATTTTATAATTAAACGATTTTAATAATTGATTAAAAAAATATTAACTGATTGTGAAAAATGTTAAATTAAAATATAACAAAATGAATAATAATTTTTTGCAAAAAAATCTAATTTTTATAATTAATAAACAAAAAAATATTTTGTAATTAATATTAACTTTAATTAACTTAAGTTTGTATTTTTAATCAATTATTTATATCATATAGAAATTAATTAAAATTTTTTAAAAGTAAGTTATGATATATTTTTTATAATTATTATTGAAATGTTTTTTTAATTTTTATTATTATCTAATAATTAATTTTTCGATAAAAATGTTTGGCCAGAAAATTGATGGCCAGTTATAATGAGTTTTAACAGATTTTAATGACTACCGGAGAGACCAAACGACACCATTGACCGACCGGACCACAAATGGCCACAAATAATCGGTCATCAGTTGTGACCACCAAATGTCGGAATCAGTCGTCCACAGCAAGACTTCGGTGGAAAATGTTGTCCAAAGCATTGAACGAGTCATCGGATGTCGACCAAAGGCCACCCGATTTCTCTGTACGTCGGTTTGAGTCTTTCGGTTGCATTAAATTAACAAATGTTTTGACAACCGATGAAAATGAGTTAATTACCGATGAAAGCAATGAACTTCTCGAAGGAAAGTGGTTTGAGTGTCGATTTTGGGACAATTGTCTCAACAAATTTGGCGATCCGTTCGCCGAAATCAAAATATTGAACGCAAAGATACCGATTCACGAATTATTAAACTCGTTGGACAACACGGGAAACGTGTGTTTGTGGCCATCGGAAGAGGTTCTCGCGTATTATATCTTTAAGAATCAGTCATTATTTGCCAACCGAACTGTCCTCGAATTGGGCGCCGGAATGACTGGTCTGTCAGGTTTAGTGACCGCTGTGTTCACGTCTGCCAAAGAGGTGATCGTCACGGATGGCAATCAACGGTGCGTTGAAAATGTTAAGTCAATTATTCACCGAAATAGACATAGATTTCGATCAGTTGTCAGCACTCGACTACTTATATGGRGTGAAGAGTCACATATGGATGACATTTGTGGCAAAGTTGATGTCATTATATGTTCAGATTGTCTTTATTTCGATACTAGTCGTCACTTATTGGTTCAGACTATACATAAACTGCTCAATAGTACCGGTATTGCCATAGTATTGGCCCCAAAACGGGGCACAAGTTTTGGCAAATTCATTGAATTATGCGATAATTTATTTGAATTATCAATCATTGATAACTATGACCAACATATTAGTGAATTGCACCATAAGTTTGTTGTGTCCGCCGATTATAACTTTTATGACACTGATCTTCACTATCCAGTAATGATTGAATTGAAAACTAGTAAACAAATTGTTTGATAGACAACAAACACTTGTTATTTATATAAACTTTTGATTTATATTTAAATTACAATTATTTATTCTTAAAGATCTGTTATTAATTTAGTCAATAATTTATTAATTTTGTTAAATTTTATCCATAAAAATATTAGATCTGAATATTTTTACTAAATTATGATTATTGGTTTATTATRATAAAAATAATATTATTGAAATTAATTAATTAAAAAACCATTTTTATAAAAACAAAATTTTGTATTTAATATGTAATAAATTATTAATTGTATTGAATATTTAATTTTATAATTATTTTTATTTATATATTTACTGTATACTAATTTTTGGTATACATATTTATTATTTTATGTTTATTTACTTTATTGCTAATACATATATAGTATATTTTTGTAGGTAACGATATAATTTCCCATCAAATATTACTACTGTATATATTTTTTAGTGTTATTTATCTTATTTGATATTAAAATTATATATTAGTTTTTGTACTCAAACATTACTAATACCGAAACATTGGTTATAATTTATTATAGTATACATTGTATACTATGCCGTCAAATATATACAAAAAAAATAAAATCAATAACAATATGAATGGCATATATAATAAAGTTTATGCTAAATATGTGATCATCTGAGACAACCTCTCACACCAAATGTAGTCTCAATTTGCGGTTATCTCTCACTCCCGGCATATAATAAGCTTTTATTAAACAGTTTTCTTCCAATTATATTATGTATTCAAGTGCTCCATATATTTTGAGACATACTGTACATACATTTAGATATTTGCCTTAACATTGCTATGTCTGTCTATATGTGCATAATTTCAATGTCTGTGAGATGTTTTTAAAATGATAAAAAAAACATGTTTATTACATAACTGTGTAATTGATTACAATTTTATATTAGATTTTTGTAAATATAAAAGATATGTACAGTATATGCTATAAGTTATATACTATATACATATACTATATACTGTATATATATAAATTTATATATATATTATTAAAAGTTAAAATTAATTTTTTTAAATGAGTATTTATATTAAAATATTTTTAGTTGAATATAGTTTTTATTACATACTATTTCAAACTTTATTATTTCTTTAATTTAGATGTAATTTATGAGATTTGACACAAAAATCAATATATTAAACAAAATTAAGACGTTTATAACGTAATGATTATAATATATATGATTTTATAATTTTTGAAATTTATGATATATTATCATGGGATTAAAAACATTTAACTAATAAGGCTTCATAAAGTTATATCATATTTATCTACCTGTTATCATATGTATATACAGTATTTGATGGATTATTTTAAATTATTGAATAGTGATAAATAAAAAATTGTAATTATCCTCAAAGTTGACATATAATTAATATTTATTGATAGTAAAGATTAAGGATATACAGTATTACCAAATAGTATAATATAAATCAATGACTAAATCAATAGTAAAGATATACTGTATTTGACATATAATAGATTTTTGACATTTATTTATTTTTTACTAAAAATTTAGAATAAATCAATAATTTAAAGTAAATAATTTGATTTTATTTTTTGATGTCAATACTCAAAGTATGATAAATATTATTATAAATTTTATAGAGTATTCAATGTCTATAATATTTATAACATCGTTTTCACAATAATTTTGGTGCTATAAAAGTGTTGTTCAAACAATCAAACAATAAACTGTTTGATAGACATGTTTGCGACAAAATTATAGATCAAAAGTTTATTGCATTATACAGTAGTTTGCAAAACTAGCTTTTAGTTTTTTTTTAATAATTAGTAGATCTTTATATCTGAGTTAAGTTATTATACTAACAGTTTTTTAAAAAAATAATCATTAATATTTAAATTGTGACGGCTATGGGTTTAACCGTCAAATAACAATAAATAAAGTAAACTTTACGAARCAATATGCAATGCGGGGTATCTTTTATAGAGTAYTGTGACGTAATTTGTGTAAGGATTGCTATAAAATAAATATTAAAACTGTCTCAGTACAAACAAAACCAAAACAATAGCAGRCGCACCACAAACACATAGATTACACTTAATATATAAATACAAAAATACTTAATGTTTTATATAAACTCCGCCCCTAAGCATTATACCTAATATTACGCGCATWTACATAGAGTACTGTATTATAGGGTATTATTGTGTGGCGGCCATTATTGTTTTGGTTTTGCTTGTACTGAAATAGTTTTAATAATCCGTGTAAAGTTTGTATACATTTAAAACAATACATAAAGTTTCAAAATATTTTATGTTTAATATTTCATAGTTTTGTAGTATACTGTATATTATTATTAGTCTTGTATCACAATTATCTATAAATATTAATAAAATTTTATGACTTAATGATCATATTTTGAATGTTATTTTTAAGACATTTTGACCGAAACTATACTTTTTTATAGAGTTACACATTATGTTTATATTTAAATAAATTATTTAAATAAAACTTATATTAACACTAAATATTCCTTTTTTAAACTTATAAATGCATTACAATTGTTGGATAATGGCTTAAATGTAGATAAAAAAACATAACAGATATATATAACAGTATTATATTTTGATTTATAATGTCATTATAATTTACTATTTATTTTAACTAACAATTCTAGTGTAACAATAAATATAAATATATAAATATTATATTAGTTTTAGAATTAGATTTCTTATTTATATTAAAAATTATAATTAGAGATAAAATTAATYTGTATATTTTTAATATAAGTATTAACAACACTTCCTAATTTTTGCTAATAAACTTGAAGTTTTTAATTAAATAACACAAAATTTTGTTTATAACAATAATTTTGTTTTGTCATACTGTAATGTATAAATATAATGAGAATAAGCAACAATTTACTCATTTATTATAATTTATAATTTATAATAACTTTGTAGTATAAAGTAATATTATAAATGTGTAAATAAAACAATTTACATAATAAATAAGTTATACAGTTAACTACAATAGTAGTATCTATTAAATTTAAATAAGAGTAGATTTAATTTTGACAATGATATCCAAAAGCATTTATTTAAATAGTTTTAGTTTTCCTAAATTTTTTGGCTCTAATAATAATATTTATTTTTTAGAATATTTAATTTATTATATAAGTGCATGTACTACGTGTATATGTATTAATCTATGTGTGTATGTACTGTATGTACAGTAATATATAGTTTTATGCTTTTATATAATACAGTACATGTGTATCAAATATTATAAATTATATATTAAATATTAAAATTTATTAAATGACTTTAATTTATCAGATAATTGTAAATTTATTTTTTTATATATAATTTAAGTAATGCTTAGTGAATTAAAACAAATTAATATTTCAAATGCACTCATAAGTAAAATTATTAAAATTAGCGACAGATTTTTAGACACAATTTACGGCATTTTATATCAAGTTTAGTGTAAAAAACTACTTGACTTGAAATAATTTTTTTAAATTATTTAGATTAATATGATATTAGATACGTTGTAAACATCTATAATAAAAGTGATTTCGTAAAAGTAGTAAATCACTAATAAGATTATCTAATTTATCTGAAATATTTCAATCCTTTTTTTTATTTTTTTATATTTAAAAAATCATACGTACGGTATACTAAACATACAGTTAATATGTTATATTACAGTACGGTATACTGTATATACATATTAAAAGTAAATTTATATGTATTATGATTTTAATGATACAAAGTTTCACAATTTACTACTTAAATATTGACCCCTAATGGTTGTTTCAAACGTGATTTAAATAACTAACTAATCTATGTCTTAGCGCAATACCTATAAAATACAGTATATAATATATTTGATTATATGATTCATCTTATAAATGATTTAATATTTTTTTCAACAAAATTTAATACTAATGATTTTAAAACTATTTTATGGTGATTATTATTATAAGCTATAAATAATTGTCTGCATAAAAAAGCATTTAATATTATATATAATTATAGGTTGTAATCTTTTTTTTTGAAGGCAAACATTTGTGTGTGTTTTATAACAATATTATTTCTAAAATAATGTATGAAAAATATCTCTATTAAAAATTAGCTATTATTTTAATGTCATTGTTTAAAAAAATAAAATTAATGCAAATTATATACCAATTACCTCTCAATTTTAAGTACAATATTTTTTGCAACAATAAATTAGAAATTTTAATATTAATATTTTGGTTGTTTCAATTAATGATGATAATTTACATTTTAAAGTAATTTTTAAAGTGTTAAAACATTTTAAAATTGTAAAACAAATTATATATATATAATGTACATAAAATTTTTGCAAATAATAAAAATTTGTTAACATTAATTCAGTATCTAATATTAAATACGCCCTGGTTGATTTTTGCTTGATAATATTAATAATACACATAAAAACATTTTTCAAGTTTTCATTCAAATATTACTAACATTACATATTTAATAAAATTACAATAATTTTATATATAGATATTTTACCAAAACTGTGTTATAAAAGCAATTATACATAGTCTATGTTAACCAATAATGTTAATAATAWTATTATTATTACTTATGTTATGAATACCCAAAAATAATGAATTATTAATATTTTGCTTTTGATATATGATTTAATGTTGTCTATGTATTAGTTGTTGTTTGGTATTTGAAGCAAAATAGGATTAAACTCTTTTATATTAATTATAATACGAATAATTACAGTCTAGAAATGATAAACTATTATCAATTTTGTTATATAATGAATCATTATAATTGATATGATGACAACATTTTTGTAGTTGCTTTATATGATAAAAAACAAAAAATTTAATATTTATTATATTTGAAATTCCTTTTAAATTCATTTAATTTTATAATAAAAGCCATATTAGTATTATAAAAATATATTTGATTTTTGACATAATATTTATACGACATAAAATATATTTTATCAATAAATATTGA